AATGTTGAAGAAGCATCTTGTACGGACGTCAAATAGCAGTAGAGACAATAGAAAAGAACAGTTAATAAAATGTATGAGTTTGTGCTTCAAGAGAAAAACAACAAGCTGATATTTATTTTCATGATGATAGTTGTACTTAATACATGTACCATTAATCAGTAAAATTAAAAAATATATTTTTTGGTCAAGATTCAAGTACTCCAGATCTTCAACTTTCTTTTAAAGGTAAAAAAATTGAGAAATGAGCACAAGCTTATACATTTTATTAACTATACTTTTTTACCATTTCCACTGCTGTTTGACATCAGTGTAAGATGCTTCTTCTATATAATTTGACGGGGTTTTAAATCCAAATAACAGGAATAAGAAATTTAGTTGCATCAAGATATTTATACCTAAAAAAAATAGCAAATGCTTACACTTTCTAAGAGTACTTACAATGCAAAAGCAGCGACATTTTATATCACAGGACTTCTAATTTCTTACAATCAGTCCTCTTACTTTCAATCCGGTATCCAAGGCTCATTTTAATTTAATTTTTATGACTTAGTTGGAAAAATCTGAAAAAATTCAATTTATTGTAGAATTTTATTAGGAATATGAAAAAAAAAAGTTTTGTCCACACCCGAGTGGAGCGGTTTTTTTTTATTCAACAATTTACAAAAAACGACAAATTTTTGTTTTCGTTTTATGCCTTTATCTCGGCTCTCCAAAATTGTAGAGTTTTAAAGAAGTTAAAATTCTTCGTCATTAAATTTCCTACAAGATACACTTTTTTTCAACCAAAAAAAAAAGTGTTTATAACAAGTAAAGCAAAATAAATTTTTTTACCTCAAAACTTCAAAGTAGTGTTGTAAAAAAGGTTTTCAACCATTCACAGCGAAATTGTAAGAAATTATAGTAATTATGCTTGACAAAACGTGTTTTGTAGAATTTAAAAATATGCAGTAGTTTTTTNCTTTCCTAAAATAGACACTTTAAAGATTGTTTCGTAACCTATAAATTTAGACACGTGAGTCCAGACGAGACAACAAATCCCAAGCAGTTTTCACAAAAGTTTTTATCAAGTACTAAACAGAGATCAGAAAAACTAATAAAAAAAAGGACATGATCCAATATTTCATTTCATAATACGAACATTCCGAGTCAGCACATTTTTAATTATTTAATTGTTATAGTATTATATACTATGGTTTTTTTTATTCGCAAACTAATATTTTAAGACCTTACTACTATTTAATGCAAAAAAGTAATCACATGCATGCTCTCTAGGTTTACATTTCATAAGTAAAACATGTTATCCGAAAAACCTTTTCATAACAGGTACTTTTACCTTAAGTGTTAGGACTCCGTATTCCTGTTCTCTTCTTTTCATTCTATTTGGTTCGAGATAAATAATATACAATCGGATTGGAGTTTTAGTTTTTCATTCGGCGTTAAGCAATACAAACGCTAATCTCAATTGTCTATATGTTTGTATCAATGTACATTTATTTCATTCAGTACATATGTGTGCGGTAGAAGATTTAACGTATTTATTAAAAATCTCTCTAAATTTTTAATATATTTTTTTTTTTAATGGATCTTTAATCATTATAAAGAAACACAAATGAAAAAAAAAAGCTGGCCTAGCTCAAATAGGAGTCTAGATACGAAAAAATTAGATTTTTTTCAATTACGATAGAATTTGTTAGTATTTTTTTTTTTAATTTTTACAAATTATACTTCAGGTAATAAGTAAATATATACTTGATTTTTGAGCTCCAGACATTCTTTGTTTTGTAATAAAAAATTTATAAAACTCGTAATATTTGGCACTGAGCTCGTTACGTGAGCGGCCTGTCCGCAGATACTTACTTTGAATTATCGCGGTAAGAGGTCACTGCAATGCCAAGGCGGGTTTCAAGTAGATCCATGATTGAAAATTCACTATCATGATCGTCTGTTACCTTTTACTCTGTAGGTGTAATTTTTGATTGAGGACTGCACGCTAGACTTTGTAACAAACTTCCGTCGTTTAAAAAAAACAGAAAGTTCTTAGAACATCTAAGTCGATAGCTGGATATGTTTACGTTACTAATAATTAATGTTTTGTGTGTTATTCACTTATTACAGTGGTAAGTAATAATTTAAGCATTACTGTTACGAAGCACGTGCTCATACTATCTACATATTATGCTTGTACATTATAGTCTTTGTCAAAAGCGTATGACGCTTATAATATCTGTTATCACTCGTATTTTTGTAAAACAAGGAAAATAAACATAATAACTGTTGTGTTTTACTGCACATTACAATCTTACCTTTAAAACATACTAGACTCACATTTAATGATAACTACAAATAATACTATACTAAATAAATCAGCATGTATCAACTACTAATTTCTTATTAGTGGTGCAGAGGGAAATAGTTAAAAGTTTTATAATAACGTCGGACACAATCAGATAGGTTATATATGCATCTATTGTTTGAGTGCGCAAGTTACACATACACACACACACACACACACGCGAGCGCGCGCAAACTCTTTCTATATATATGGTACTCTCAATAATATTTGGATAAATAATAACTTGTCTTGTTCTTAAGAATTAGTGTATTTTGTCACATAAGAAAAAAATTAAAATTACGTAAAACTCTGATTTCAGATTTGTAAGATTTTCAACAGTGATAAGGGAAAAAATAGATTTACCGAAGACATGCATACTGTGTGATAAAGTTTGTACCGGAGAAAATAGAGTGGCAGTCACATAGAAATGCAGAGATACGCTGAAAATCTCCTTAGCAGACTTCGTGGTAACAACAAAGTTACATTGTTTCGGAATTATGATGGTATGATGCATACAACTTGCTACTTCAGTTACACCCATCACAAAAATTTATCTTCGAATACCCCACCCGCTAAAGCCAGCTTGTCACCAGTGACAGCGGGTCATTCCGAATTAAAAACTATTTCTTCCAATGGTTTAAATTTCGAAATTTGTGTATAATATGCCATACCAAGGCATCGGATGGTCTCATTTAAAAACAAGTTGAAAAATAAAAGGGTAAGTTCACAGTAGCCACCGTCCTGGGTTAAACGAACACAACACGGCTAACAGCTTGAAATGGCACTTTTTTGGTAAATGACATTTAACGAGCTCAGCGCGCTCTTTCGTGTTCTCGCATAGTCATCCATGTGTACTCACGTAGCTTTGCAAAGCCGCGCGTACCCTCTTGTAACCTCACCCATCCTTGTGAGTCCCTGCACTACTGTGACTTTACACATATCCATGTACATGTGAGTTTATAAGGACACTCTTGCTTATACATGTACAGGACTATGTATACGTACCATTCGGCATGTGCAGCGTATTCTTGTTATTCTGTAAATACATGCATACTCTTGCACATCCTTACATATACGTGCTTATCCTTGCACACTGAGAACATACTTGGATGTACGTGTGTGTATTACGCATACCCGTGAGTGGCCTTTCATATGTGTACACACCCACGCCTATGCATGTTTTCATCGTCTTATGCATAGAATTTAACTTGTATCATTTCACTAGTGACCAGTATGATTAAAACACTCCTTACTTACCATCTTAGAATGTATCATGTACCATGTATCATGTAATTTGTTATGTATAATTTGTAATGTGTTGAATAAATCAATGTTTTATACTCTAGATTAATATTTTTTAATTAACGATGAATATCTTTGCCAAAAATTCATACGTTTTTACCTCCTTGTTCGATTAATGCTTCAAAAGATTGTTTACTTTTATTTCCACGTCCACAAAAAATCAATACGAATACACAAGCTTCAATACGCTTAGCGCAAACATGCAATAAACACCTTTAAGTGACATACAATGTTTAATTTTTAGGAACAGACAAGAAAATAAATTGACTGAATTTCTACAAAACTCAGTCAGTTTTTTCATAGTTACGTCATTATCATCACTAGCTATCAACTCAAAAATACTTTTTTGACCATCGCAATGTTCATAATCCACTTGAAAATCAGTCTAATCTTGGTTTATTAAAGGAGCCTTAATAAAGATGGTTTATTATTTATGAAAAAAATAACTGAAAGTATTAAAAATGTTCAACGAACCATCAAAAAAGAAAAGTCTTAATTTTTTTAATTTACGGTTGCATCGTTATTTACCTTATTTATTATTATCATATTTAAAAAAATTTAGTCGTTTAAATTATTCTCATTTACCTTTTGTACGCAAGCAGTGTTGTATTTGATTTAAATGGAAGTAAAATACTGGTATTAAGATCAAATTTCAAATAATAAAGTATTTTTTAATAATTAAAGTACTTACTTACTAAACCTGAAGGTATGACCTCACAAATTATAAGCCTAATTATTATTTTTATTTATATTTAAGCTTGATTTCATAATACGGACATACGTTATGGAATATAGGGACATGATCCAATATTTCATTTCATAATACGAACATTCCGAGTCAGCACATTTTTAATTATTTAATTGTTATAGTATTATATACTATGGTTTTTTTTATTCGCAAACTAATATTTTAAGACCTTACTACTATTTAATGCAAAAAAGTAATCACATGCATGCTCTCTAGGTTTACATTTCATAAGTAAAACATGTTATCCGAAAAACCTTTTCATAACAGGTACTTTTACCTTAAGTGTTAGGACTCCGTATTCCTGTTCTCTTCTTTTCATTCTATTTGGTTCGAGATAAATAATATACAATCGGATTGGAGTTTTAGTTTTTCATTCGGCGTTAAGCAATACAAACGCTAATCTCAATTGTCTATATGTTTGTATCAATGTACATTTATTTCATTCAGTACATATGTGTGCGGTAGAAGATTTAACGTATTTATTAAAATTCTTATTAGTTTATTTGTTAATTTAAAAAAAAAACGATTCTCGTGCATTTAAGTTGTAAATTTATTTTTACACAATTCAAAATCTAATATTACAAACTTTATTTATCACTATTATCATTCTCATCATTACAATCATCATTATCAGTATTATCACTATCAGTATACATTTCATCTCCACCCGATGCATAATCCGTCGTCGTGTCATCTCTACATTCATCATCCATCGACGAACTATCAATTCCTTCGACCAGAGACAGGTTTTCTCCTGTTGTGTTTTTAGATTTTGATAATGATAGGATTTCTACTGTCAGGATCTGTTTTGTTCCTCGAGATTTAGCTCGAGACATAGAAAATAATAGATCGGAATGCATCATCAGCCTTCGAAATATGTCTATATTCGTCGCAGTCCTATTGTCAAATTATTTGTATGTTTAACAAATGTACATTACATCAATCTTATTATTGTAATTAGTAAAATACAAAAAAAATATTCAATAGTTGAACGTTTCTTGCATATCTCGTTAACATCAATGATTTCACAAGAGAAATACGTAAAAAAATGTTTGCACGTTTTATTTAAATTATTAAGCAATTCTTACTCTACATAGATGAATGCACTTAGAATAAGAATATGCACCTTTACATACACAGGGTAGGACAAATCGCGTTCAATTACTACAGCCTGAAGTTCTAAAATCTGAGCTAGATAAAGTTAATTCATCGATTTACACTTTTAAAAATAGCAAAAATTTTTTTTTTCACTTTTTAAAATATGAGTTGAGAATTATCTCTTTTAATATATTGATTTTAACTTCTCACAAATTTCAAAGTTGTAGTTTGGAGGAATTACTTCTTTCAAAAGTGAAAAATTAAAAATAACAATCTTAAGTGTACGTTTCTAAATTTCCTATTTAAAAAAAATGGAATTTAAACGTGTAATACTGTTATTTTTTACATTTTTTCTTTTATAATGTGTAAATCGCATTACAACACATGCCTATAGTCCATGCAGTATAGTGTATTTACTATAAGTGTGTGTATAATTTTGTGTACATACATGTAAATGTGTGCATGTTATTGGAATATAAAATTTTATCAGAAATGAGTACCATATTGTATTACATTAATGAACCTCATCTCAATAGCTATTCCCGTACAGTTAAGAATAACTTGTTTCACATTACAGTTACTGTGTCATGCGAAATGTATGAGCATATGAAGGTTTGCATCAATGTATGGAAAAGTATAAATTTGTCATTCAATTAGATGTATCATGCTTTCAATGTTAAAGGCTATAGAAACAAGATCTTAAAAGTTTTTTTAAATTCATCCGTCTGAAAAACAATCAAAACGTTCTAAACGGAGAAGAGGGGCGATCTGTAAGATACTAAACAAAAATTATTCATTGATTTAACGAAAGGAAATATAAAATAAGTACTTTAGTCTGATACGTTTTTCTTATAATCAAATAGACTATAGATTTTAATAAATTTTATTTGCTGTCCGATAAATAGAGAGGAATGCTCCAAATACCGAAATACAATGTTTTTTCAGGTTTTTAACAGCCAAAAAAAAAGAAAGCTTTTATAAGTAAAATTCAAAGGAAAAAAGCCAAGATATGGATGTACTCAAATTACATTCTGTCTTTATCGATAGAAAGCCAGTAGATTTTCCGAATTCACCATAATTATGTATATATATGTACATACACCTCATTTGCATGTACTGAACAGATTGTTTTAACCCTGAAAATTGGATCCTTGTAGCCTATTATCTAAGGAACACAATAAGCCCAAAATTTGGTGGATGGAGTGAGAATTCTAAAAAGTAGGAATTTTAGCCATTTTTGGGCTTTTTGGAATAAAGTGAATTGAATCTTACTGCAATTTGTACAAATTGGTTGATTTTTTATGATATTCGCCATCTTGGATCCGACGTTTCGAACTTGGCTAACTGGACCCCGGATTCGTAATCAGCGATCCATAATCACCTTGTTAACCAAACTTGACATCAATCGGTTGATTTTTGATAAATTTTGGCCGCCATCTTGGATCCACCATCTTGAATTTGGCTAACTTACCCCGAATTCATGATCAGCGACCTGAAAAACCCCTGAATACTAAATTTGGTACAAATCGGTTGATTTTTGATAATTTTGGCCGCCATCTTGAATTTGTCTAATTAAACGTCGTATTCGTGATCAGCGACACGAAAAACCCCTCAATACCAAATTTGGTGCAAATTCATTTATTTTTACCACGTTTTTATGTACCCTGAGTAATCGGACTACCAAAATTTAACATGTATATACCATTTATACATATATATATATCAAATTTTTCAACCTCTGAGAGGACCGGATCCTTGAAGCCTACCATCTTACAAACAAAATGAGACAAAAATCAGGAGGATAGAATGAAAATCCAGGGGAAGCAAGAATTTTGACCACTTTTTGGGCTTTCTGGACCACTGTGCGCCACCTTACTTTTCTTCACAGTTCTTCCTTAAAATAAAATAAAAATATGCTTATTCGTCTGGGATGTAAGCGTTAAAAGCCCCCTCCCCCGTAACCATCCGCACCATTCTCTTTGCCATACGCTTCTTTCTTTCCACCACAATTTTAGTGTGGCTTTCCGCAGCTCTTCACATTTTAGCACGTAACACGAAAATGGCGTACAGTTTTTTGTTTTTAAAATTTTTTACTCATTAAACTGCCTATTTTAACTGACGATTAGGACTTACTTAGAATGTAGACAATCTACCTAAGTTTGTAGCATGTCAGACTACTTTATAAACAAAATTTTAACAACTAGCCTAACACTTGTGTAGATAAAAAAATGTAAACAATTGAACTGGATGCATTTTTAAGTAACAGTTATGATATTTAATATCAACAATGGTTATTACTTAACTTTACCCTGAACGCGATTCAAAAGCTATTTAATAGCTATCCATAAGCTTATTATATGCCAGATAATATGACTGTGATGATTGTAAATTATTGGTTTGTTTTATGGATGGTACAATACTCGACGTGCAATATATTTGACAAAAATTATAGTTTCCTTTTTTATGATGGATAGTAAAAATGTGCTAGTAATACGTGACCCATTGATCGACAATAGAAGAATAAAAAAAAGGTGGTAGTGGGGAGTGGCGGTATAGAAGGAGATGATATAGAAGGACAATGATTCTGAATGCATCGCGTATCAATGCTTATTTTTACAGACGTGAGAAAAAGAGATTAGTAGACAGTTAAAAGTGTGTTAGTAATCAAATAAATAGTGCGGGCACAGTAAAATTTATATCAGCGATTGTGTTTATTTGAAACTAACGCCCCTTTGGCCTCCTATCTCATTTCCTTTTAGGAGTGGTTGACGTTCCCAAGATGGACACCAGAAGCAGACCTACTGGGGGAGAGAAATCCAGTGTGTAGAGACTAAGTTAGTGACATACAAGAGAGTTTTGTGACAGGTTATTGGGACAGCCATTTGTCAGCTAGAAAATCCTCGTCACAAAGGTTGATAGTAAGTTCAATTTTTTAAAGTAACAATCTTGAAAAAATAATTAGTGAGTAGCTTTACTAGTCAAATTTTATTGGTTTAGCGTCTTCAGCTTTTTTTTCAACAAGCTTAAATTTTTTTACTTCAACTTATGTTAAGTTTAGTACATGGATAATTCTATTATAAACCGGACAGATTGAAGCAAAATCTGACCGAAATATTTTTTTATTTGGCTAAACATTGTTTTATGGGTTCAATATCGAAAAAAAATATACATATTCGACGAATTTTTTTGTTTTGGATTGAGGGGGCTAGAAATTTAAGAGTTTTATGATTTTGGCCTTGAAAACCAATTTTCAAAAACATAACTCTATTCTTTTCAAACTAGAGAAAATTTTTTTCGTTTATTTTGAAGATAGTAAATTAAATTTTAAGAAAAAACAGTATTTACAACAAAATTTATAAACAACTTCATGTAGTTGACAACAATTTAAAGATTTAAATTGATTTTTAACTATGGTCCCTAAAATTTAACGATTATTTAATACAACTATTGTATTCTACGTTAAATTTTCTATAAGAAATATGTTTTCAATTAATGGAGACATTATTATAACTAGAAGAAATACATTGATTTATAAAAGCGCGGTACGTCACGCGTCGTATCGGCGCACGGACACCTCTGCACGCCTCCCCTTCTAACCTTACATAGTTTTACCCAATAAAATAAGTGGTTATCAAAATATGTTGGTAAATGGAAAAACATTTATTTTTACTTACAAACATGACTTATAATCAGCTTAATGTCTATTTAAAGATTTTTACAATTGTTGTTTTATCATTTTATAAAAATATTTCTGATTCTAGTCTCTGAAGAGGATCGGTATCATGCATTGGAATTGTAACAAGACCTTCTATTGTTAAGGCTTTTTTAAATCGTTGTAAAAATATTCGTTCTTCCTCATCATGCTTATAATTAGTTAAATAACAACACGTAACACTTTGCAAAGCTTCTGTTGCCTACGTTAATAATTTGTGGGGTGTTTAAATTGGATCATTTATCGCTTGAAGACCAGCTCTGGCAGCAAGTCGTTTTAACGTTCCACCTATCCCATCGCATGATTCCTTGTCATGAGACGTAGGGAAAAAATTCTATTTGGCTGATTTTCCAAAATCTTAAATATTATGAGTAAGACAATTAAGTTTTTCTTATTTTTTTAATGTGCACTTGCAACGTCGAAAAAAAATTTTAATTTATCAACACCTTTCAAATTCATCTTAATAAATTCTAAAAGTTGTTTTTGAAATAGGTGAATAATAACTGTGTTATGATACAATCATTCAGAAATTCAAACAAAACTTTTTATAATTAATTCATCTTTTTCGTCTGTATAGTAAATTAAGAATGGATAAACAGTTGCTTGATCATTATTTCAGTGCACAGCTAGTATAGAATTTTGTAAAACAAATGCATAATTTTTTCCAAAATCACATATAACATTCATTTTTTATTAGTTTTTTTCTTCAAGTCAAAAAATTCTATTTGTTTTTTGATCAAAAAATACTGAATCAGTAACTTTTTCAAGCCGTTGCTTAAAAGTTGCAATAATTCATCTACATTAGATATCAAAGTTTATAGTAAAGTTTTATATATTGTCACCCACCGTTTGTATTGCACATTTTCGATGAATTTGTTATGGAAATTTTGTTGTAATTATTTAATAATATTATCTACATCGGGGCACTAATTGCATAATCCTAAAAAATAATTAGTAGATTTAATATCACACGTCATACTATCCAAACAATCATGATAATTAGTTATTGGTATTTTGCAGTCAACTGAAGCACATTTTGAATTCGCTTCATCTATCATGAGTTTAATATTTTTATGTATCCAACACA